ATCAGTCGAGTATCAAGATGGCTCTTTTTAAAGCATTGAATGGAAGGAAAATTTTTACGCCATTGAATTGGTTTAGCTTAAGGATCGGGACATAATTGGTCCCGATCTGATCAAAGAAGTGGAAGAAAACGTATTTCTTAAAGTATCACCGTGGAAAAAAGGTTTTGAGATTCGAGCATAAAGGAAAGTTGAGTCTAGGATTCATTGGCCTGTAGGAGATTATCAAGATAGTTGGTACGACATCTTATTAGTTAGCATTACCTTTGGAAATGAATAAGATCCTTAATGTGTTTCATGTATCGATTCTTCGAAGATATCGATTAGATCCTTCCCAAGTGATTACATCAGAGAAAATTGAGATTCAACCATATTTTTCGTATGAAGAAGAACCAATTCAGATTTTAGCTCATGTAGTCAAAGAACTAAGGAACAAGATGATTCCACTAGTGAAAGTTCTTTGGCAAAACCATAAAGTCGGGGAAACAACTTGGAAACGTGAAGAAGACATGAAAAAAGAGTTTTATCATCTTTTTATTTTAGATACCTAGCTATGTATGAAAATTTGAGGACTAATTTTCCTTAAGGGGGAAGGAATTGTAATACCCCAAATTTTTATTAGTGACTAAATTGTAAGTTTTGAAAGTTTAGTAGCGAAAGTATAAACTTTTAAATGTTTAGGGACCAAAAATGTAAGTTTGAAAAGTTAAATAGTTTGGCCTAAAACAAGGATTTCTGTGCGAATCAGATTTTTGGTGTGAGATTTGTGTTAAAATTATAAAGCAATAAATTTTGATATTGAAATTGGATAATCGATCGAACTGAAATTTTATGAAAATTTGAAGGATGTTAGAATATGGTTGGAAATATTATTTCCATATTTTATATTGAAGGAATTTGTATAAAAACAATGTAATTTTTAGATTTGATGGAACAGTGGAAAATTAGTGACTAAAATGCAATTTTCAAAAATTGTATGGCCAAATTGAAAAGTCAAAGCCAAGTTGATTCATCTTTGACTAATGAATATTTTAATATAGAATATGGCAATTGCATTGGGTAATTATTAAGGTCCATTAACAGTTAAAATGAAATTTCTTAAGAAATGAATTTTAAATTCAATTATATTAGTTAAATGCCAGTGTTTTAGCTATTAAATACTAGAATAATCAAGATAAGCAACATATTTTCAGTCATTTCTCGTTCTTTGGCCAAAACATACATAGCTACCATGGTAAGATTTTATATTTTATTTTTGAAGTCATACACTTGATTTTTAGATTAAGCTACTAGATAGAGAATTAATCTACATGAAATTCTCTATCATTTAGTATAAATATTGCATGGTTAAGATGCTTGTGTTTAGATTAGAAGTCAGGGTTTATGTAGGGCTTTGTGGTGTTGAATAATTGATTAAGTATTTTTATTTTTTTGACCTTGGAGATTAATTTTCAAGCTTGTGTCATGTTTAAAATCAATTACAGAGTGATCTAAAGTTTTCTACCATACCTAGGGTTTTAAGAGATTGGTTGATTTTGGTTTAATTTAATGTTGTGATGTTTAGTGTTGCATGAATTTGAAGTAAGAAAGTTGAATTCATGATTGGAAATGAACAAAAAGTTTACCCTAAAGTATTGCATTGATTCGACCACTAGGGAAAATTGGGGAAAATTATTGAAAAAATTCCTATGGTCTAGAATTAATATAAAAAGTGTTCTATGTGATTTGGAGATCAATTTGGATCAATTTGAATAAGAAAAAGGGCTAATAAACAAGTTTTGAGAATAGTGGGACATTATTGCAAGAATTGATATTTTGAAGGTTTGATGCTGATTTTTAATAAATTAAATGCTGGAAATTTTAAGTTTCAAAGTTTATTGGAACCAAATTACATGTTTGGTAATGTTGAAGGTGGAATTCGAAAGGTCTCACTAATATAGGAACTTGATTATAAGTTTTTAGATGTTGGAGTATTGATTTGAGTATTTTATTAGGGTGCTGGAAATTTTATGTAATAAATGGCGAATGATCATAATGGTGAAGGGCTATTATGAATTTAATGAAAAAGTTGAGGTGAAATTTAGAAAGAATGTAAAATTAGTGGCTTAATTATGTATTTAACAAAAGCTGAAAAGTTGATGGTGAAATAAATATTTATGAAATTTAGTAAGTATTTGGAAGAGTTCTGAATTTATGATGAGAGTATAATTTAGTTATATCGATTAAGTATTGATTTTCAATTTTATTGACTTTTATATTTTTAAGTTTAGATTATGTTAGTTTGATACTAACATTTAGTTTGAATATGTTATGTTATTATATAACATTGTCAGATCATGATAAATCTAGCGATTTGAACGAATAGAAAGAAAAGAGAAAAGCACGTGATTATAAATATCTCATAAAAGGTTCGGTAGTGAGGCAAAGGTGATTGTAGTTTATTTATTTAATCGTTATGATCGAGGACGATTTGCTATAAGTCAACCTTATTTTATTTTCCAATATGATTTATAAAGTTTAATTATGGAATATTTCCATAATATTTTGTGTCATCTTTATGGATGATTTAGGGTATGAACTGCCTAAGTATGATATTCATTATAGTGAATTTTAAACTTTTATAGTTATCAGACATGGATTTATAAATGATTTTAATATAGTATATAAGCTCATTTATGTTGCAATGAGAGTCAATACATTTGGCATGCCATTAATTGATTAATTTTCATTTATTAAAAATTGGTTCAGCTATGGTATATTCATGTACCCTATGATCAGCACCGTTGGTGCACAGGTTCTGATTGCACTGAAGTGCTTCAAATCTCAGTTTCAGTTATGAGTGGCTCCGTGATAAGCCTATTGCGCAGCTTACTCACGTACCTTATGTTCTCATAAATATGCATTGCGCTATGAAAATGAATATGAAAGTTTTATATAGCTTTTAGTTAACAGAAAGCATTTTGTGATTAACTTAACTTATCAGATATTGTTTATCAGAATTTCATAAGTTCATGAAATAAGATGAATTTCATGTTACAGTGAGGAAATTGAATTGGATAAGTTGGTTTGTCAGTTTCATGTTTTATTTAAATTATTTTATTTATATTTATGACATTTTCATGTTTTATCTCATCGTAGCTTATTACTGCCTCAATAAGTTAAACTTAGTGTCCTGATGTTTTCATGTGTAGGTTTGATAGAGATAAGACGAGCATTGAGGAGCCTACCGAGCATCTTTTTGGAAATAATACATATCATCAGTATCGGTAAGACATCTACGATGTTACTTTTGACTTATAGTGGCATGTGTAGTTATGTCAATATTTTATTTATCATATTACTTTTAAATGGTCTATAATAGTAAACTAGAACCATTTTATTCCGCTTAGTTTAGTTTTAGCAGTATTTATGCATTAGTATAATATATATATGTTTTAAATGACATATGAAAATACAATAAATGATTAAATAATTATTTGATAAATAGATATATTTTCTACGACAAAATATTAATTTATAAATTAGGAGATTCGAAAAATAGTTTTAAAGTAAAATAAGAGTGTTTTAAAAATTGAACAAAATTTTAAGCATTTCAATTCAGTGAATGTCTGTTAAGTTGATTTGATATCTATTTCTCGTATTTTGAGATGTATACAGGTTATGGGTATTACATTTATTGGTATCATAGATTAAGGTTTAGCCGATTCTTAGACTAAATTGAACCTGTGTTATGTGAAAAATATGTACATACCACTAGTATGTCGAAATTACTAATATGATCTAGTTTGATGATTTTATTTATGATGTTGCTCCTTACTAACATGATGTTATGTATATGTCGTTAGATGTCGAATTCGGAGGGCTCTAGATGACCTACAGAACAGGAGGTTCCTGAGTGAACTGATAGTGAGAGTAGTAATGAGGTCGAGCATGGATTTTAACAACATGGAGCACCGACACATCAGTGATTGTTAGCTCCAGATCAGGGGACTTTCTTGCAAGCTCTTGAGGTTATATTAGCAAGATATCAACCAGCAGCAGAACTTCACCCTCCTCTGCCTCTAGCTCCAAGAATATCAGTTCTGAAAGAACTAAAAAGTTTGGGAGCTGTAGAATTTAAAGGTGAAGCAAATGAAGGCCCGATAATGGTAATTAGTTGTTGAACAATGTGAATATTATGTTGGAAAGTCTTCATTCTAATGAGGAAAGATAGGAGGGGTTAGTCTCATTTTTACGAGTTAAGGCATGTATATGGTGGACTAATGTTATGACACGCATCCCTCCAGATCAGATTACTTGGCAGTTTTTCCTAGAGGCTTTCCAGAAGAAATATATCGGGGATTAGTTTATTATTAAGATGAAACAAGACTTTTTAAATCTGATTCAGGTGAACAAACATGTTTATGAATATGAGTGCAAGTTTAATAAGCTCGCTCTTTATGATTCGGAGATGGTTCCCACAGAGAGAGACGTATGCAAAAAAATTATTCGACATCTTCGCCCAGAGAATATCTGTTGACTGTAAATCTAACAACTTTTCAAGAAGTGGTAAATAAAGCTAAATATTTAGAAATGGCTCAGGTTGAAAGAGTTATGTTTGATCAGAAGAGACAATCAAAGAGATTAGGAGTATCGTCCTCGTCCCAGTCTAAAAGTGGTCAAGGTTCGGGATATCAGTACCAGAATAAATTAGAGGGTGGTGCTTTTGGTCGTAGTGGATCCGAGGAAAATGAAAAAGGTCGTCAGTCAAAAACAGTAGCTACGGAGGTAGCAGATCAGTTCAGTCCTAAAGACAGTACCCATTATGTCACTGGTGTGGAAAGTATCATCCTGATGAATGTAAAGCATTATTAGGAGCTTGTTTTCATTGTGGAGGCACTGGACATAATATGAGAGACTATCTGATGGCAGGAGAGAGATATGATTAGACAAAGCGATCAATGACAGTGTCTCAGAGAGGTGTTTAAGACAGAGGCAGAGGCAGAGGGAGGGGATATTCAGAGATGGCTTCTCAGTCTGATGTATGTGCCCCATCCAGGATTTATAATATCAAGACTAGTGAAGATCATGATGATACAGAGATCATAACAGGTACTTTCTATCTTTATGATAAGCATGTATTTGTTTTGGTTGATCCAGGTTCTATGCATTCCTATGTTAGTTCATAATTAATTAAAAATAAAAGTATTCCACTCGAATCCATCGACAATGATTTAATAGCTATCTATCCTCTGGGTCATAGTGCCAGAGTTACACGAGTTAATAGAAATTGTCCGATAAAGATTAAAGGGGATGTATTCCCAGTGAATCTTATAGAGTTACAGTTTGACGAGTTTGAGATTATATTGGGCATAGATTGGTTATCTTGATATTATGGTTGCGTGTATTTTTGTATGAAGTGATTATTTATAAAAGATACAGAAGGAGCTGAGATAATAGTAATTGGAGAAAAAGTGAAATCATTGCCTTATGTGATATCAACGCTAATGGCAGCCAAGATGTTGTCAAAAGGCTGCATAACTTTTGTAGCAAATGTGATTAATACCCGGGCATCTGAAGCTCGACTTGAGGATATTACAATAGTTTGGGAATTTCCAGATGTATTTCCTGATGAGTTACATGGATTACCTCCTAATCGAGAAATAAAGTTTAAGATTGACAACTTTTCGGGTACCACGTCTATTTCGATGGCTCCAATCGAGATCAGAGAGTTAAAGGTGAAAATACATGAGTTACTTGATTGACGCTTTATTAGACCGAGTGTATCTCCATGGGTTGTACCACTATTGTTTGTTTAAAAGAAAGACGAATCAATGCGGCTATGTATAGATTATCGTCAGTTGAATAAAGTGACGGACAATAACAAATACCCTCTTTTGAGGATCGATAATCTATTTGATCAACTCAAGGGTGCTTCATTAATTTCAAAGATTGATCTTCGGTCTGGATATCATCAGTTAAAGATTAAAGAATAAGTTATTCAGAAGATGACTTTTAAAACACGATATGGTCATTATGAGTTTATGGTTATCAAATTTGGATTGTCTAATGCTCCAACATCATTCATGGATTTAATGAATCGGGTGTTCTAGCCATATTTAGATCAGTTTATGGTTGTGTTCATTGATGATATTTTGGTGTATTCTAAGCATAAAGAGAAGCATGACGCACATCTTCACACTATACTTCAGACGTTGCAGGATAAAAAGTTACATGTTCAGTTATCAAAATGGGAATTTTATTTATCAGGAGTCTTTTTTCTGGGCCACATGATTTTAGTTGAGGGAATCAGAGTAGATCCCAAGAAAGTACAAGCAATAGTGGAGTGGAAAACTCTGAAGAATGTTTCTAAGGTTTGAAGCCTCTTGGGATTAGCCAATTATTATCGAAGATTCATGAAGAATTTTTCCATGATCGCTTCTCCACTTACTAAGCTACTCAGGAAAGATGTGCCATTTGTTTGGACTGCCAATAAAGCTTCGATACACTTAAAAATATTTTGATGAAGACACCAATTTTAATGCAACCAGAATCAGGTAAAGATTATGTAATCTACAATGATGTATCCCATAAAGGTTTGGGATGTGTTTTAATGCAATAAGTTAAAGTAGCAACTTATTCTTCAAGGCAGCTAAAGACACACGAATGAAATTACCCGAAGCATGACTTGGAGCTAGCAGTTGTGGTGTTCGATATGAAAATTTGAGGTCACTACTTATATGGTGAGCGAAGTAATATTTTTAAAGATCCTAAGAGTTTGAAATATCTGCTTACTTAGAATGAATTGAATTTAAGACAAAGGAGATGGATTGAGCTTTTAAAAGATTATAATGTGATTATTGACTATCATCTGGGAAGACTAATGTGGTCGGTGACGCACTTAGCCGAAATAAATTTACTGCTTTGTCTTAGATTGGAAAAATAAAATGAAAGACTTTGAAACCAAGTTTGATAGATATTTATATTATCGGGGTCTAGTGTGTATACCCATATGATGAAGAATAGAAGAATATATTATCTCTAAAGCTCATTATAATCTTTTGACTATGCATCCAGAAGGAAGTAAAATGTATAAAGATCTGAAAAACTGATATTGGTGGGAAGGTAAGAGAATAACTATAATTGAATCTGTATCTAAATGTCTAACTTGTCAGCAGGTAAAACCAAAACATCAAGTGTCATCTAGTTTGCTGCAACCTATTTCCATTCCTCAGTGAAAATGGGAACGAGTTACTAAGGATTTTGTAACATGTTTTCCCTTGACACCTAATAAGAAAGACTCAATTTGGGTGATTGTTAATAGATTAACTAAGACAACACACTTTATTCTTGTTCCAAAGGATTACTCAATAGACAAGTATGCTAATATTTGTATAAGAGAGATAGTACGACTTCATGGAGTACCTATCTCGATAGTTTATGAAAGAGACCCGATATTTACTTTGAGCTTTTGGAAGTCTCTACATTAAGCCTTAGTAACTCCACTGAATTCCAGCACATCTTATTATCCTCAAACAGATGGTTAATCGGAGTGAACCATTCAGATACTTGAGGACATGCTAAGAGCATGTGTTATTGATTTAAAAGGATCATGGGAAAAGAATTTACCTTCTGCAGAGTTTTCTTAAAATAACAATTATCAGTCGAGTATCAAGATGGCTACTTTTGAATCATTGTATTGAAGGAAATATCGTACGACATTGAATTGGTTTGAGCTAAAGGATCGAGACATAATTGGTCTTAATCTAAAAGAAGTGGAAGAAAAGTCAATATTATCCAAGATAATCTCAAGATTGATGTTGACAGACAAAAATACTATGTTGATCTGTAAAGAAAGGAGATTGAATTTCAAGAATGTGATAAAGTATTTCTTATAGTATCACCTTAGAAAAAGGTTTTGAAATTCAAGCATAAAGGAAAGTTAAGTCCAAGATTCATTAGCCCATATGAGATTATCAAGGGAGTTGGTTCGATAGCTTATCAATTAGCATCACCTGCGGAAATGGATAAGATCCATAATGTGTTTTATGTATCGATGCTTCGGAGATATCGATCAGATACTTCCCATGTGATTACACTGTAGGAAATTGAGATTCAATCGAATTTATCGTATGAAGAAGAACCAATTAAGATTATAGCTCATGGAGTCAAATAACTAAAGAACAAGATGATTCCACTAGTGAAAGTTCGTTGGTGAAACCATAAAGTCGAGGAAGTAACTTGGGAACAAGAAGAAAATATGAAAAAAGAGTTTTCTCAACTTTTTGTTTTATATACCTATATATGTATGAAAATTTCGAGGACAAATTTTCCTTAAGGGGGAGAAATCGTAATACCCTAAATTTTTATTAGTGACTAAAATATAAGTTTTGAAAGTTTAGTGGATAAGTATAAACTTGTAAAAGTTTAGGGCCCAAAAATGTAATTTTAAAATGTTATATATTTAGAACGTAAATGAATAGTTTTTCCTAAAAAGGATTTATGTGGGAATCAGATTTTTAGTGCGGAATTTGTGTTAAAAGCTATAAAGCGATAAAATTCGGTATTGAAATTTGATAATTGGATCAAACCAGAATTTTACGAAAATTTGAAGGATGTTAAAATATGGTTGGAAATATTATTCCCATATTTTATATTAACTAAATTTGGCTCAGAACAATGTAATTTCAGATTTGGTCGGACAACAGAAAATTAGTGACTAAAATGCAATTTCTGAAAATTACATGGCCAAAGTGAAAAGTAAAAGCCAAGTTGATTCATCTTTGACCAAATAATATTTTAATGTAGAATATGGAAATATCATTTAGTAATTATTAAGGTTTATTAACGGTAAAAATGGAATTTCTTAAGAATTGAATTTAAATTCAATTATATTAGTTAAATGCCAAGTGTATTAGCTATTAAATACTAGAATAATCAAGATAAGCAACATATTTTCAGCCATTTCTCTTTCTTTGGCCGAAACATACATAGCTACCAAGGAAAGATTTTATTTTTGATTTTTGAAATCATACACTTGATTTTTAGATTAAGCTATTAGATGGAGAATTAATCTACATGAAATTCTCTATCATTTGGTATAAATATTGCATGGTGAAGATGCTTGTGTGCTGAGAATGGAAGGGTTTATGTAGGGTTTTATGGTTTTAAAGAATTGATTAAGGATTTTTATATTTTTTGATGTTGGATATTAATTTTCAAGCTTGTGTGATGTTTAAAATCAATTGTAGAGTGATCTAAAGTATTGGACCATACATAGGGTTTTAAGAGATCGGTTGATTTTGATTCAATTTGATGTTGTGATGTTTGATATAGCATGAATTTGAAATAAGGAAGTTGAATTCATGATTGGAATTGAACAAAAAGTTTTCCTAAAGTATTGCATAGATTCGACCACTAGGAAAAATTAGGGGGAAATATTGAAAATTTTCCTATGGTATAGAATGGATATTAGAAGTGTTTTATGTGATTTGGAGATCAATTTGGGTCCTTGAATAAGAAAAAGGGTTAATATACAAGTTTTGAGAATTGTGGGACATTATTGCAATAATATGATATTTGGAAGGTTTAATGCTGATTTTTAATAATTTAAATGATGGAAATTTAAGTTTCAAAGTTACTTGGAACCAAATTGCAAGTTGGTAAAGTCGAAGGTGGAATTCGAAAGGTCTCACTAATATAGGGACTTGATTATAATTTTTTAAATGTTGGAGTATTGATTTGAGTATTTTATTAAGGTGTTGGATTTGTTTTTTAATAAATTGGAAACGATAATAATGGTGAAGGGCTATTAGAAATTTAATGAAAAAAGTTAAGGTGAATTTTAGAAAGAATTCAAAATTAGTGGCTTAATTATGTATTTAGCAAAAGTTGAAAAGTTGATGGTGAAATAAATATTTATGAAATTTAGTAATTATTTTTGAGAAATTGGAATTTATGATAGGAGTATAATTTAGTTATATCGATTAAGTATTGATTTTTAATTTTATAGACTTTTATATATTTTTTAGTTTAGATTATGTTAGTTCGATACTAACATATAGTTTGAATATTTTATGTTATTATATAATGTTGTCAGATCACGATAAATCTAGCGATCCGAACGAAAAAGGTAAAGCTTGTGATTAGAAATATCTCATAAAAGGTTTAGTAGTGAGGAAAATGTGAGTGTACTTTATTTATTTAATTATTATGATCGAGGATGACTTGCGATAAGTTAACCTCATTTTATTTTCCAGTATGGTTTATAAAGTTTAATTATGGAATATTTCCATAATTTTTTATGTCAGCTTTATGGATGTTTTAGGGTATGAATCGCCCAAATATGATATTTATTATATTGAATTTTAAACTTTTACAGTTACCAAAGGTTGATTTATAAATGATTTTGTTGTGGTATATAAGCGCATTTTATGTTGCAATGAGAGTCGTAGGTACATTTGTCATGCCATTAGTTGAGTACTTTTCAGTTATCAGATATTGTTCAGCTATGGTACATTCGTGTACCCTATGATCAGCATCGTTGGCGCACAGGTTATGATTGCACTGAAGTGCATCATATCTCAGTTTTAGTTATGAGTAGCACTGTGATTTGCCTTGTCCACACCTTACTCATGTACCTTGTGTTCTCATAAATATGCATTGGACTATGAAAATGAATATGAAAGTTTTATATAGCTTTCAGTTGACAGAAAACATGGTATGATTAACTTATCAGATATTGTTTATCATAATTTCATAAGTTTATGAAATAAGATGAATTTCAGGTTAAAGTGAGAAAATTGACTTGGATAAGTTGGTTTGTTAGTTTAATGTTTTATTTAAATTATTTTATTTATATTTATGACATTTTCATGTTTTATCTCATCGTAGCTTATTACTGCCTCACTAAGTTATACTTAGCGTCGTGATGGTTTTCATGCATAGGTTCTGATAGAGCTAAGAACGAGCATTGAGGATCCTCCCGAGCATATTT